ATTTAGTCAATTCACCTATAGTGTTCCCTATTAAGTTACTGTTCAATAAGCTCCAGATTTGGCTCCAGTGCAGACTAATCTAAAGTATATGCACAAATATAATATTGTAAAACCTCCTGTAGAAAATATGAATCTAAATAGGAGATTTGTGAGGGGCGTATACTCTTATGTTGAGCACTGTAAGTCTCTGACTGAGTAATAGAATGGTCGTGTACAAGCAAGCAAGTGCACCTGCTTTTCCATGGCGAAAATGAAGGGCCCTCTGAGCAGCGCCTGTAGGGAGCGAGTCAGATAGCAGCCCCGTAGGCTTGAACCCGCAGCCTGTAGTCTGTGATGCCAGCGGCGTGGAGGATTATGAGCCGGTACTCGCAGCCCTATACTGCCACCTACAGGCAGGGGCGTGGAACTGCGGCTCCTCTCCTGGACCTCAACCGCAGCCAGCCTTAATTACAGCATGCTTCAGTTGTTGTGAGTGCATGTCAGAACAAATTATGTAAGTAATGAGGCTGAAAATGCTAAAGGAGTAGGAACACACTGGCGCGCTAATGCTCATGCCGAGAGAACACAAAAACAAACAGCGGAGTGCACTGGACGTGATTTTTTTGTGTTGTTTTTTGTGTTTGAGAAATACAGCAGAAATTATTGTTTCATAGGGCTGTGCAATATCATTATATATATATATATATATATATATATATATATATATATATATATATATATATATATTCATTTATTAATTTTCTTGTCGGCTTAGTCACTTTATTAATGCGGGGTTGCCACAGCTGAATGAACCACCAACTTATCCGGCACGTTTTTGTGCAGCAGATGCCCTTCCAGCTGCAACCCATATCTGGGAAATATAAATGTATATTTATAAACTATATAATATATATATATATATATATATATATATATATATATATATATATATATATATATATATATATATATATATAAATAAAAAAAATTATATATATATATATATATATATATATATATATATATATTTATAAGTGTATAGCTTCATATGTCACACAAAATACATTGGTTATGAAAAAACTTTCATAATTTATATGAGCAAAATATTACACGTCTGAACCATTGCAAGAAAGTTGCAATCCTGAAAGCACAATGTTTACATTATATATACACAAGCCCAAAATGATTCATATATGTATGTATATATATATATATATATATATATATATATATATATATATATATATATACTTGTCTGTCTATCTATCTATCTATCTATCTATCTATCTATCTATCTATCTATCTATCTATCTATCTATCTATCTATCTATCTATCTATCTATCTATCTATTTTTATTTATATATAGTGAATCATTTTGAGTCTGTCTATATATATATATATATATATATATATATATATATATATATATATATATATATATATATATATATATATTAGTTCATTATCGTTAATTTCGTGATGTCACAAAATACAGGGATTATCGTAATACTTTACATAATTTATATGCACACAATTTTACACGCCAGCAGAATTGCGAGAAAGTTACATTCTTGAAGGCACACTGTTTGCATTTAGTGTTTTATTTAGTAATGCTTTTTTTTATTTTTATGTTCGACCTGTTATCATTATTTTTTAAAGTGTTTTATAGTTTATTAATGTTTATGTTTTATTCCTTCATAAATAAATAGATAAGTGAGAAATATGAATGAGTACATTTCTGAAGACATCCTTTAAAATGTTAAAAAGAAATAGTTCTTTACATGCAGCCAATATTAATATTATCTGATCAAATTTACCTAAATGGTATCCTATCTCGTAATATTGTTATCAGGAAATAAGACGACTTTATGTCGTAACATGAGATTTCTGTGAGAAAGTTGCAATCTTAAAAGCACATTTTATACAGTAATCATTAGTTTTTGAAAAGTGTTTAATATTTTATTAATGTTTATTTATTTTATTAATTCATTTATAAATAAAGTGAGAAATAGGAAGTCAATTTTGTAGTAAGTACTTTTAAATGTAAAAAATAAATAGTTATTTTTGGTCAATAAACAGTTGAAGTCAGAATTATTCGCCCCCCTGATTATTTTTTTCCCAATTTCTTTTTAACAGAGAGCAGATTTTTTTCAGCACATTTCTAAACATATTAGTCTTAATAACTCATCTCTAATAACTGATTTATTTTATCTTTGCCATGATGACAGTAAATAATATTTGACTAGATATTTTTCAAGACACTTCTATACAGCTTAAAGTAACATTTTAAAGGCTTAACTAGGTTAATTAACTAGGCAGGTTTGGGTAATTAGGCAAGTTATTGTATATTCTGTAGACTATCGAAAAAATATAGCTTAAAGGGACTAATAATATTGTCCTTAAAATGGTGTTTAAAAAAATTGAAAACTGCTTTTATTCTAGCCGAAATAAAACAAATAAGACTTTTTCCAGAAGAAAAAATATTATCAGACATACTGTGTAAATTTCCTTGCTCTGTTAAACATCATTTGGGAAATATTTAAAACAGAAAATTTAATTCAAAGGGGGGCTAATAATTATGACTTCAACTGTATATAAATATTAATTGATTGAATTTACGGAAATGATACTATATGGTGATATATATATTGTTATAAGGAAATGAGACGACTGTATATTGTAACATGAGATTTTTTGTCATGTCAGCCAGCCCTTATTAAAAATTAATCATGAAGTAACGTGATCAGAGAAGTTAGCACATCTGCCAATTCCCGCGAGGATGCCCTCCTGAGGATTTGTATCAGTCATTGTCGCAAAACACGCAGAATCTTGACCAGACGGACTGTGTAGCGGCGCAGGGTTAGTGGATCATCAGCGCAGAGCAGAAGCAGAACAGGAGACCCTTGGCAGCGCTGCGGGGATGTTGACATTATCCAGATGACACAACGGGAGCTTGAAGGCAGATGATGAAGTGGGCCGCCGCCGATGCGTCGCTCAGCGGTGGCAAATTTTGATGCGTGCAAATTAATTCTGTACGATCGGATTTATAAGGTGCACTAAAATATTACGGAGCCTCAGTGTTTTGGCTGGAGGTAGGCAAGTAGCTGCAGGGAACTTTGGCTCGGGATCTAAGGGAACTAGAGGGAGCAATTTCTGTCAAGTAGAAATAAAATGCTTAGGCTACATTAAACAGTGACTGTTCAGCTGTAATCCGGCTAAATATAGAGTGAAGCTCTTGCGCGGGGAAGGTCTATTTTGCAATGGCCAGAGGTTCGGTTCAGGTCCTTTGATGTGATTATAGTGCCGTGGCCTTTGCTTGGAGTTGCCTCGCTTTATCAAGGAGAGCCGGGTTTTATCTGTCGGAATCAATATCTACTGTGTTTCCAAACAAACGGTTCACTCAGAAATTGAACTTCCTTCTTTTTTTTTTCCTGAATCTGTATGGATTTTTTTGTTTTTCTCTTTTGAAACACAAAAGGAGATATTTGGTCAAGTGTTAACGTTGCTCTTTTCCATACAATGAGCAAAGCAGCACTCTTGACATGTAGCGCAGTAGTGCTTCAGGCAACCTAAGTTTCTGTCAAGTAAGATGTGGCATAAAATAGAGCAAATATACAAAATTTTGTCTTAGCTTGAGATGTAGTGGTCATTCAGTTTCATTGACAGAGAAAGGGTTGCATGAACTTTGCTCTAAACCTCTTATTTTATGTTAGATGTAAAAATGAAAAGAGGTGTGGGTTTGGAATGGCATTAGGGTGGGTATAAATAGCAACATTTGTATTTTGAAGTAAAATATCTCTTTAAATGTGGGCCTTCAGAGTACAACTGAGCCTGGCCTGGTTAGCTTGACACCACTGCTTGACTAAACAATCCACACTTCATGAACCAAACCAAATTTCACACATGAAATTAAAAAAATGCAATGCAAATCCATTCAGAATTGGTAAACAAAGCTACAGTAGGCCTCTCTTATATATATATATATATATATATATATATATATATATATATATAGGGATGTGCAGAGCAGCCAGTATTTGTATATGTATTTGTATTTGTTGAGGAGGGAAATGTATTTGTATTTGTATTCGAGTAAAATTCAAAGTGGCGTAAAAATATGTATTTTTTTTCCATTACACTTCTAATTTACGTTATAGTGTAAATATTGTTTAATTATATCCATTATAATAATTATGGATATGCAATATTGGTTTATATTATTGGCAATATGATGTTTACTTATGTAAATGTCTAGAAATATATGTGCAATCCACCAGACCCAATGCACCTAACCCAGACTGAGCTGGGATCAAACTGGTGATTCTTTGTATGGGAGTTGGTTGCTCTAACAAAGACGCTAAAGCCCATGGCCTCTAGAGTCTGTCGCTGGAGCACCTTTGAAGGTCAGAGGAGTGAGGTTTACCTGCATAGAACCTGATCAAACCCACTTGAACCAATTAATTAGGACATGAACAGCATTGATAATCACAGGCAAGTTGTTTGATATGGGTTGCAACTTACATCTGCAGGAAGGTAGATCTCCAGGAACAAGGTTGAGCATCCCTGGTCCAGTTAGTTAGTCTAGTCGTAGTAGTGTAGTTTAGTTTTTTTTTTGTGCCTCCTGGACTCGACTGTATCTCGCGGTGTTAAAACTACTACTGGTATTAAAATATGTGGGATTTTAGAGCAACAAACAGAAATTCAGTCCAGTCTAGTCATGTGGTAAAGAATTGGGATCTCTCGATATTACAGCCCAAATGCTCCGCAGGAAACAACGGTGCTTCATTGCAACTGCATTTGTTTCTAAGTCATGGGTTGGCATCACAATTCTGAGGGTTTTCTGTTTAAAGTCAGAATGGCCTCCTCCAAACACGCCGCAGCCGAGGGTGGCAGGGACGTGATGCGTTTGAAGCTCGGCGCCGTTTCATGTCGAAACATGCAGCCGTGGAGGAGGTGTTGCGCGCCGACTGGTGACAGTGAAAAATCCTGACAGTGTCTTCTCTCTTTTCTCTCTCCGCAGCTCAAATCGAAATAATTCCCTGCAAGATCTGTGGAGACAAATCATCAGGCATCCATTATGGCGTGATAACGTGCGAGGGCTGCAAGGTAAGAAGCTAAACAACCCTGTCAGAGAAAGAAAAGGCGGGAAAAGCCAACAAATGAGACGTTGCGGGAAAAATAACAGTATTGAAAGGAAAACAGCGCTTAGAGGACTTTGCAATTCACATAGCCAGTTTGAAATGTTGCTAAATATGTCACAATTACAATGAGATGACAATCCTTGGGTCTTGTTTTTCCTTACCTCCTTTGCTGCACTTGACCTTTTCTTCCTAGATAACACCATCAAAAAAGCAAGCCATTTTCCTTACAATAACTTCTGTTATTTTTCCTTAATCTTGGTCCTGGAGGGCCGGTGTCCTGCAGATTTTTGCTCCAACCCCAATCAGACAAACCTGGGCTAGCTAATCAAGTTCTTCCTAGGCTTTCTAGAAACATCAATGCAGGTGTGTTGAGGCAAGTTGGAAATAAAATCTGCAGGACACCTGACCTCCAGGATCGAGATTGAGATATCCTGGTCTACAAGAATGTTGTGGCGAGTATTCTGATTTTTAATATGACTCTCTGGGATATGATAACCTGAGTGTTGTAAACCGAGCTAATCTGTTCAGGATTGTGAAAGAGTGAAGTAGGATACTAGCAAAGACACTTGAATGATCTCTGCCAGTGTAAAGTACTACCTGCATCAAAGGAAAAGCGGGAAAACAAACAAATGAGACATTCCAGGTTATTGTAAAGAAAACAGCGCTTACAGGACTTTGCGATTCAATCCTTGGGTCTTGTTTTTCACCTCTCTTGCTGCACTTGACCTTTTTTTCTTTAATACAACCGTCAAAAAGGAAGCTCTTTGCATCAAAGTGGCAAAGAAAAAGCGGGAAAGGCCAACAAATGAGACATTCCACGAAACATAACAGAAGTTATTGTGAGGCAAATGATGCTTGTAGGACTTCGCAATTGTTACTAACTCGCATAGCCAGTTTGAAACGTTGCTAAAAATGTCACGATTACAACGAGACGACAATCCCAGCGTCTTGTTTTTCTTTACCTCCTTTGCTACACTTGACTTTTTTTCTTAAATAAAACTGTCAAAAGAGGAAGCTCTTTGCATCACAGCACATCGTTAGCAGTTTTGCAACCACGTCCTCCCACCGACGCTCCTCTTTTCGTGCATTTTTCAAACACGCCGTCCACTCAGCAAACAGGAATTTTGTGCTTATTGTGTATTCCTGTTTGCTGCCTGTCACCGGAGCGACTCGTTAGCATTCCGCGAGCAGGCTCGGCAGAAACAAACGTGCGGACGCGGCTCCTGAATGGCGTGCTTTTTTGTTTTCCCGCACACAATAGACAAGACTCTCTGCTCAGCATCTCACCGTCACTCACTCGGCAGCAGAAACGCGCGAGCCTGAAGAATAAACTGCTGAAATGTATCTTTAATGGTTACTAATTACTCGAGGCACGGAGACATTTAATGATATGTGCGAGCACACCGCTCCGGCCCATAAATCATAGCATTATTAAGGAGCGCTGCTTGTCACCGCCAGTCCTACCCCGCTTTCATAATGGCTGCCATTAGAAAGCAACTTGGCAGCTGTCAGCTGTTTTCTAGTAATTAAACAGCCAATGAGCAACTAATTAAGACATATGTGTATGGAGCTGTGGAGTGGGGTGTGTTAATGACGAGCTGGAATCAATTCATTAAGTCAAAGGGATGAGAAATCAACTCAACGTAGGCGCCCGCTCCTTCCCCCTCGCAGCACCGCCGGGTTCGGCCTTGGTTTTTTCGACATTAATAACCTCGCGCAAACTCGCCATTATTTACTACCTTTCTCACCCATTGCGGTACTAGCAGTGCCAATCGTTAATGAGGAAAAATACTCCTTCCAAACTGCTTTTTATAGTTACAGCGGCAACGTATGCATAGTTCAGATGTATCCTGAGTGAAGACAAATACTTCTATATGATCGAGACAAGCGTTTGTAAAGCCGCCACCATCTGTTTAGCATTTGCCACAGGAATGTTTATTTATGAGCACTTCATGTGGAGTAATATGTGCTAGTAAGGTATAGATCAGAGTCGAAGGTCAACTTTTCAACTTTGCTATCGTGTAAATACATTAAGGTTTGCTTACAAACTAGTGATGGGAAGTCCGGATCATTTTACTGACTCGGATCTTTGAGTCTCGTTCATCGAGATGAACAAATCTTTTTTCGAGTCATTTCGTTCATTTGGTTCAATTTGCCAAAATATTATTAAAATGTTACGAATTGCTTCCAAACACATCTACAACCAGCCCAAAAGGTTGATTGCACGACAAATAAGTCAAAAGTAGAATATAACAAGGAGATAATAACAATTCAATGTTTACCTGTTCTTTTGTCTATGAAGGTATTGTTGTCTCTTTGCTCAGCTCACCTCTTCATGTCTTCTAATGTCAGGGGTTCGTTCACGTTACACTGACAGTCACATATAATCTTAATCAATGCACCGCATAAGCCGATAGGAGCCATGATCGTTCGTTCATCACGTGACAGAATGACTCAAACCCGAGGACTCGAGAGATTAACGGTTCAATTCTTTTCCCGGCTCTAAACGCGTATGATTGGCCCATGATGAACGAGTGACTGTGACCCGATAGAGGACTCGAGAGATGAACGGATCAAAACTTTTTCCGGCTCTAAACGCATATGATTGGCTCATGATGAACGAGTCACTCAGACCCGATAGAGGACTCGAGAGGTGAGCGGATCAATTCTTTTTCCGGCTCTAAACGCATATGACAAGTAACAATACTACCTGCACAAATGTGCGCACGTGCGGATGAACAAATCACTCCTTGAGAGGACCGGTAGTTCCCGAGTCATATTGAAGACTCGTTCAAAAAGAACGAATCGTTCATGAATGACCCATCACTATTACAAACTTCAATAATTATTTGTAATAATTTTAGTTTAGTGTTTAAATTTGAATGTCACGGACATTATGGATGTACTATCCACCATCGTTAGCACAAATAAAAAATATTGATGTATTGTTATTAGTATTATGAACATATTCACTTTTATCATATTCACTGCTTGATTTTTTACAATTATTATAGATGTTTTAAGGCTGTAAAACCTCTCACTACACACTTCATACACTTTTCTCAGACAGGCATTGACATTTTCAAACTTTTCTATCATTTAAACCCTCTCAAAGTTCAAACCTTTGTAGAAAAATAAGTCCAGTATTATAGAATAAAACCAAAGATCAAACCCATTAGATCTTCATTTATTTATTCAGTAATGGCGCCCTACAGCTGAGTAACGCTACCTTCCTTTAGCATGTCCAGAGGTTCAACTTTTTGTGCTATGGATAGCATCATCCTCTGCCTCTTGAGTGCTACCGCAGGTGTCTTTAAAGGTGCAGAACGTTTCGCCGACATTGTGGGGAGAAAACTTGCAAGCATATTGTGTAAAGATTTGGCAAGATGAACGCATTCTGTACTGTACAGGAGACATGGCATGGAGAAGATTGATTGACAATGGTCTACAGCCATGGTCAGGACGCCAAACACAATGCGCTAATCAGTGCGCTGTAGAAAAAACAAGCATGTCAATTCACAAGAAAAAAAATCGGTGAAACTGCGAGGCCACGAAAAGTGAGCCACATTATAGCGAGGGATCGCTGTATTAACACTTCAGACCTCAAACAACAATTCAAACCCAAACAACTCGAACATCAATTCTCGTGCATTACTATACCTAAACAAATTTTCTCATACATGCGTACTCACATTGATTGGAAATAAATATGATTCTGATTACTAATAATAAGAAAACTTGACGTAAAAATGTTTGTAAAATTTACCACAAATTTAAATTTCCTTTAATGGCACTTGTTAAATTTCAATTTCAAGAAGATCCACATTCAGGAGTTCGAACAAGACTTTTGAACTAGTTAAAAGACTAACAAGCAGTCTCACCAGGCCAGCATAAATAAAAAAAAAATCTGTACTTTTGAGCCCTGCATGTATTAAGCACCCTCTCTCTGTCTCTCGGGCCTGTAGGGCTTCTTCAGGAGGAGTCAGCAGAGCAATGCGGCGTACTCGTGCCCGCGTCAGAAGAACTGCCTGATTGACCGCACCAGCCGGAACCGCTGCCAGCACTGCAGGCTGCAGAAGTGTCTGGCCGTGGGCATGTCACGTGACGGTAAGTCCATGTCCAGTGCAGCGGGCACCAGAGGGAGAGCAAGACTCTCCACAGATACAGAACATCAAATGAATGCAAAATACCAAGAATAGCAGTGCGTAATATAAGCATGCAACCTCAGAGCAAGTGCTTTTCAGATATGCACTAAGAAGAGCAAAACCTTGATTGCAACAACCGAAAGTGTTTTGGGGAATCTTATATAATTTGTCAGCAGTTGTAAGTTTTGGGAACATATGTCGATTTCCATTTTTAGGTTGAATCATTAAGGAGTGAACAAGAATGTACTTGAAATGGTCTACAAATGGGTTTCTTAATCTTGGTCCTGGAGGGCAGGTGTCCTGCAAATTTTTGCTCCAACCCCAATCAGACACACCTGGGCAAGCTAATCAAGGTCTTCCTAGGCTTTCTAGAAACATCCTTGCAGGTGTGTTGAGGCAAGTTGGGGCTAAAATCTGCTGGGCACCGTACCTCCAGGACCGAGATTGAGAACCACTGGTTTACAAGAATATTGTGGCGAGTATTCTGATTTTTAATATGACTCTGTGGTGTGGGAACCTGAGTGTTGTAAACCGAGCTAATCTGTTGAGCATTGTTAAACAGCAAAGATACTGGTAGAGTCTGGTAGAGTGATCTCTGATAATGTAAAGTTAAGCAAACCTCATTAAAAATAGTTGAGAATGGTCCCTTCCCTAAGAGTTTCTACCATATAATAAGTACCACTTCCATTATAACGTAAGGCAACAAACAGAGAAAGTTAAAGTAAGGTAGTAGCTATATAAATATAAATATATATATATAATATAAATATATATATGGCAAAATTTCCATGATGCACCAAATATTGTAAAAGGATTTCAAGAAAATATTTAAATGCAATAGACAGCTTTATTCCCTACTTACCTTTGTTCCCCAGTCTTGCCATGTCACATAAGTTAGAGTACCTGTTCTGTAGTCGGAGCCCATTACTCATTAATTTTCACCAAACTTGTGACAAGATGAATTTAAGAGGCAAGTTGTGGATCTGGACTGCGGGGCATGCTCAGTCAGGGTGGAGAGTCTTGACAGCAAGTAGCTTTTATTAAATGAGCATCATTAAAACAGGCTCATTAAAGCCAATGCAGGTGAGCAGCGTTACGGGGAGCACAGGTGAGAGTTTGTGTGTGTGTGTGTGTGGAGGCCCCCTGCTGGGCCTCCGGCTGGGCTGTGTGACTACGGCCCGTGACAGGAGGATGAAATCAGGCCAGGTCTTCCGAGTCTACCAGGCTGCTCTCTCACACACAACCAGGACAGGCAAGGTGACTTCTGACTTCACTCCGACTGAAGCTCACCAGTCCCCATCTGCCTCCCTTACTCGGGGACAGAGACGCAGAGTGTGCACAGATACACGCATGTTACTGTAGGCCTCCACTCTGACTCAGTCATATTCCTCAAATTCAGAGCTGATCCTATCTCATCTCCTCATGTCACTTCCCTGTATGTCTCATCTGCTTTCCACTTTTGTTATGTTTAGAATTTACATATAATTTAATTTGTCTTATTATTAAATAATAATATTATTCCGTGTCCTTTGGTTTACTTTAAAGCTCTGTTCACACTGTGTTTATTTGTCTGATATGAGTTTGGGACATCCTAAAATATTTACTATCAAATATTATCAAGGATCCATTTATAGATCTTTCTGTTACCAAGCTGATGTTCTGAATCAGGTATTTTAAGTAAGGGTGACATACAAAATGTGCAAGGTGGGGGATGGGGGGGATGTCAAGCAGCAGAATTGAGAACCACTGAGCTACGACAACTGTCAATCCAAGAACTAATAGGACAGAAGAATCTGATGCGCATTATTCTACTTATTCACTCCCCTTGCCTACAACTCCTGCTGTTGCTGGGACTCTAACCTACGACCTTTGAGTCACAAGTCAAATTCTCCAACTATTAGGCCTTGGCTTCCCCATAGTTGCCATTCAGATTGCTTTCTCACATGCTTGTAAGTTGTGTAACATGAGGTAATTCATTCAGTAGTACTCTGGCATTGTTTCGAGGATGACGAAACAAGAGGCAAGGGTCTGCGAACAAGTGGTCACAAGGGACGCATATGAATGCATGTTAACACCAGGTGGAAATATAATTCATCTCTGCTGAGCACTTGTCTCCTAATTACATCTCCTCCCATTTTCTTTCGTCAAACTTGACTCTTCTTTGTTCCCACTTGTCTCAGCTCTTGCCCTTTTGCCTTTTTTCTCATGTTTCGTCTTCCCCTCATCTTCAGATCTCATCTGGTCTCCTTCGCCATGTTGTCTCCTTATCTTGTCGTCTCTCCTCGTTTCTTGTCTTGGCTCATGTCTCTCCTCACATATCCACTATCCATATTCTGATCTTCTTGTCTCTTGCCCCTACTTTAAATCTACCACTTTCTTCTATCCCCTTCTGACATCCTCCTCTTTTCTCTCCTCTTCTGTCCATCCTCTTCTCTGCTCTGGTGTCCTCTTGTTTAAAGCCTCTTTATCCATTTCATTCACCACTAAACTCTCTAGTACATCTTCTTCCATCCATCAGTAGATCAGCTTGTCCTCTGCCAGACGCCCTTCCTTTTTACGAACACTTGATCTCCACTTATATCTGATCCACACTGTATTCCGTCCCCAGTTTCCTGTTCTTCTAACACTCTTCCAGTTCAAAGACAGGCTGAAACCGTAGCAGCTCTTTCTTTCTAAGCTGAACAGTCTGTCTGCCGCTTCCTCCAGGTGTTACAAGAAAAGGCCTTTCCTTTTTGAGAGTGCTTGTAAATTGAGGATTCATTGTCAAGTCCTCTGTTCTTGGATCATGTTGGAGAGTAGACAGCAGGAGAAAGCTAATGCTATTACCAAGAAGAGCTTTTTTGACCCAATACACCACTAATACTCTGTGAGAGACATTAAAACCTGCTCCCGGGAGTTACTTGTACTCTCCATGCCACTACACTAAGCCTTCTATCAAAGGCCAAAAGTCTTCAGGGAAAAGACATTGCGGATTTTGTTGTTTTAAGTAACAATGGCTAGGAAGTCTAGTTACTATATCTTGTGCTAGGGTTGTTTTAGGGTGGTGGGCGTTAAACAAAAGGGTTGCTGGTTTGATGAACATAAACATTGAGCTATATATCACTACCTTTGTTCCCTAGAGGCTAGATTGTACAAGGGGGGCTATTAAACTCGTTTATCAAGGATGCCACAGAAACAAACTCCACCCAACAAACTCTAATGTAAATTTGTAACTCTTTCACATTTGAGTTAAATTGGGTAGATAATTTGTATTAATCTATACGAGTTCTTTCATGAATTTTCATACTGTTCGCTTTGAAGGTTAACAGCTCCAGAGGGCTCCCAAGTGTACAATAGTGTTGACGTGGTTGCTCAGCCTGCATTTGATTACATTTAAGAAGGTTCCGACAATTTGAAACAGATTCCTGTTCTCAGTGCACTCTCTTTGCTCCTACAGCGGTGAAGTTTGGCCGAATGTCAAAGAAACAGCGGGACAGCCTGTATGCGGAAGTGCAGAAACACCGGCTACAGCAGCAGCAGCGGGACCACCAGCAGCAGCCCGGTGAAGCCGAACCCCTTACCCCAACTTATGGCCTCTCCACCAATGGTCTGACCGAGCTCCACGATGATCTGAGTGGATACATGAATGGCCACACGCCGGATGGCACCAAGCCTGACTCAGGAGTCAGCAGCTTCTACCTGGACATCCAACCCTCACCTGATCAATCCGGCCTGGACATCAATGGCATCAAGCCAGAGCCCATCTGCGACTTTACCCCTGGCTCAGGCTTCTTCCCCTACTGCTCCTTCACCAATGGGGAGACGTCCCCCACCGTTTCCATGGCTGAGTTGGGTAAGTGATCATTCAAATGAATGGTAAAGTGGATTCTGGGCAGGGGGTGGTACTAGGGGGAAGAACCCAACCGTGGGGCAAACGTCGCTAAAGATGTCTTAAAATAGCATTAGGTTGGAGACTCATCTCAAAGACTCATTAAAAGAACCTCTTTTTTTCTAATTAGTTTCCATTAATTAGGGCCAATCAGGATCCAGCAGGGCACGCGCCAAGGGAAATCATTTTTTTAGCTTCCCCTCCTGCTCTGGGACTCCTTTTAACAGATGTGTTTTCAACATGATTGAATTTTTATACTGTTTTTTTTTTCTTCTTTCTCTCGTCTCCATTTGCTCATTCTTGCTGAAAGCAAATATGACCTTTGTTCCCATGAATTTACACGCACTCCTCACTTTTATACTTGAAGTAGTGCCCTATTTTCCTCTAGAAGGGAAACACAGACGGTCAACAAGCTTCTAAATTGACTTTAAATCACTACAGTGCAGTTCCTTGATTGGAAATGCTGCATCTTTTGAAAGATTTCCCTCAGCATTCCTGTGAGCATAAATGAATATCCCAGTAAGAGGAACATCTTTCATGATAATAGGAAACAAATGCTGTGTACATAGTACAGCTCGAAATATCTATCTATCTATCTATCTATCTATCTATCTATCTATCTATCTATCTATCTATCTATCTATCTATCTATCTATCTATCTATCTATCTATCTATCTATCTATCTATCTATCTATCTATCTATCTATCGTAAGAATTAAGTGCAGTCAAGCACTAGAGGGCTTTTTTGACGGGATGTTGCATTGTGTTTCAGAACATCTGGCCCAGAACATTTCCAAGTCCCACATGGAGACGTGTCAGTACCTGAGAGAAGAACTTCAGCAGATGACCTGGCAGGCGTTCCTTCAGGAGGAGGTGGAGAACTACCAGAGCAAGGTAAACACACACATTCTTGGAAAGACACATGGCTGTTCGGATGGGATGTTTTAATTTAACACCAAAACTTGCAGGGTACCCAATGTGGCAGGGTTTTTGGGTTCAAAAATGTTCAGGATGGTTGCACAACAGGATGAACAGCAATTTAAGTGACTAATTCAGAGCATTTTTTTTTTAAATGGGATAACACTGGTAATTTCCATCACGTTATTTTTATGGCGTTTTTATACTCTTTATCATAAAGTACATTTATAGGTGCAGAAATTTAATTAAAATTAAACTGCTTCAAAAGAATACAGCCTTTTGTTGAATCTCTTTGTGTTTTGCTTCCTTTCAGCCCAGGGAAGTCATGTGGCAGTTGTGTGCCATCAAAATCACAGAGGCCATTCAGTATGTGGTGGAGTTTGCCAAGCGCATCGACGGCTTCATGGAGCTCTGTCAGAATGATCAGATAGTGCTTCTCAAAGCAGGTAAAGTGTGTGTTCACATTACCATCATCCAATATAGGCTTACTTTGTGTGCGTGCCTGTGTGTTTACAGGGTGTAAAACAGGAATTAACCTTTTTTCTGCAGTGCCTGTGTATGTGTTTGGAGTAGTGTACTAGTGATCTGTATACTGTGCACTGTATGCAGTTTTTTTGTATGAGATGACTTACTACATTTGCCAAAATGTGCATCAACTAGAGAAGGGGTTCTCAATCTAGGTCCTGGAGAGCCTGTGCCCTGCAAAGTTTAGTCCCAGCCCCAATCAGACACACCTGAACTAGCTAATCAAGCTCTTACTTGGCTTTCTAGACCAGGGGTGCCCAAACTCTGTCCTGGAGGGCCGGTGTCCTGCAAAGTTTAGTTTAAACCCCAATCAGACACACCTGGGCTAGCTAATCAAGCTCTTACTAGACTTTCTAGACCAGGGTAGCGTCTGAAACCACATACTTACATACTATATAGTACGTTAAAATCAGTATGCGAGCTGAGTAGTATGTCCGAATTCGTAGAATTCGAAAATCAGTATGCGAGAAGTACCCAGATGACTTACTACTTCCGACGAGAATCTGAAATGTACATCCCACGCTCGCTGCGCTATCCCATGATGCCCCACCAGAGAATACATGAATGGGAGTGAAGTGACGCAGGTAGGGCACGTGACCATGACAAAATGGCGAATGTAGTACATCTGAATTCCATTCATATTCCTTTTCACATTCATACTGTATAGAACGTACTTTTCTAATGGCCGAGTAGTACGTTTAAATTCAAATGCAGTACCCACTGAGTAGTAGCCGATTTCAGACGCAGCCCAGGGGTGCCCCAACTGTCCTGGAGGGCCGGTGTCCTGCAAAGTTTTGTTTCAACCCCAATGAGACACACCTGGGCTAGCTAATCAAGCTCTTACTAGGCTTTCTAGAAACATTCCTGCAGGTGTGTCGAGGCAAGTTGGAGCTAAAATCTGCAGGACACCGACCCTCCCGGTAAAAGTTTAGGCACCTCTGTTCTAGATAAATCCTTGCAGGTAAGTTGGAGCTAAAATGTTTTTACTCATCTCCTTTTTGTTTAGTGTAATTAATCACTTAAATGAACCTTTTTACTTAATTCGACAGAAAATAGTTAAGTCAATTTATCAAATAGGTATTAAGAATTAATTGTTGCATACTATTTAAAGTGCTATCAAAAAGGGACCCCTGAGTTTTTTTGTGTACAAGCTCCATTTTTGTGAATATTAGGAATTTAATTTGACAAACGTACAAGTCAGAATAACTGAGGCACAGGCTGTAAAGGCTCCACCCACTTGTGGAAATGGGGCGTGGGTAACATAAACTAATTTGCATTTAAATCCAAACCCAAAAACGGGGTGTTTTTCGCTTCCGCCCAACAAGAGTCCTTTGCACCATGGTATAATAGACTATCCGTAAGGTATTTTGAGCTAGAACTTCACAAGACGCATTCTTTGGACCCCTGAGATTTATATTACATCTTGTAAAAAGGGGCATAATAGGACTCCTTTAGCAGCAGTACACTGCACAGTAAGCAATATGCAAGTATTCACAAGCAATGTCGCACAGCAGGAGGTGCCGTGCTTCAGCTGAGGATCTCTTGTGTATACCCGAATACTGTATCGGGACAATCTGTCAGCTCTTTTGAAAAGTAAGGCACTATTGAGATGATATCAGCACTGCGCACTATCTGCTCGCAAATAATGGGCCGAAGTGCTTGATCACACTGTCCCCGTCATGATCCCGACGGCTTTCAGTGTTTCTGTTTGTGCCCGACCGAAATGATTAACAAAATACTGAGTGAGCGCTCTCTCTCCTGACATGACATTTTAAACCACCGGCATCTTTTCTAAAGCTCCGTAATGGCTTCTATTACGTGGCTTTTATCCTCTAAGCCTGTGCTCACCAAAGCACTCCGCTGTAGAATTACCGCTCCCGCTCACAACAATAACAGCAACACACTCCACCTGAGTCACACACACATACACAGACTACTCTAAAAAAAAAAATAACAACAGACAATTGGTGACTTAATAAAGCCGTTTTTTGAGATATAGCTACTTATTGTGATACAAACACACCACTTACGACCTTAATGCTGGGTTCAGACTACAAAGTGCTTTTGTCTGTTATAAACGTGACTAGCTATGTTGCCATCCAGCTATTTCAACGCTCATTTTAGGAATATTGCATTGAAAACTGCTTAATTGGAAAGTCAGGATGTGCATGAATTTTAAAAATGCGCAAGAAAAAAGCGCATAATTAAGTATGGATGAACGTTTTATTCGATAAGCGCATAAACTACAATGAAAACACATTTATATACTGAATTTCAGCAAAGTCACACTCGTAGCAGTGCCATGTGGCTGCATATCGGCACTGTTGGGAGGCGTGCGTTGACTCGAGCCCGTAGGCATACAATATACAGGCATATTGCACTGCTATGAGTGTGATATTGTGTTTATACAACAGTTTGACGGCACAATCGTGTATATAAAAAATAAAATCAAACACGGAGAGTCTAAAAAATCCTTTTGTACAAGAAACTACCTTCCTCTGCCATTTATTCATGTTTGCAGCTGACACCAGAAACCATTGCTAATTCACCAATGTCCCTTTAGAGCTAGTGTTTGAATGATTCTCTAGTGTAATGTCTAAAGTGATGACAAAACAGCTGATTTTGCTGATATTTGAATATTATAAGGCTGAACGACATGAAATGCCATCAGTCTACAGAGATTTCCCAGTATTTCTCTGTTGGATATTACAATAATTAAACCGGAAAAGGCAAAGCAAAGCAAACACTAGCAGATTACTATGGCATAAATACAGCACAACAACATACAAAAGAGAGAGATCGACTTAGAGTGTCACTTACCTGTTTTAGAATGAACTGATCAGCTATATTTGAAATACGAAAACGTTGAGTGTTTCTCATAAGGAGTTATTATGCGTTCTCTGGCGACATCTTGTGTTGGTCAGTGATCACTTTCTTTGCTCTGCATGCTGATGGTTGCCGATGTGCGATCTCTGAAATGATAAATATTTTAAAATAGGAACTATCCGTATAAATAAACGGCATAGTTGCAATCTAAACAACTACATTCTTGCCTAAAATGCCTCAGTTATGTACGTTATGTTGTCCAACAGCTGCAATATTTGTCAAACTGCAGCGAGTAGTCTTCTGCTTGTCTCTTTATGTAGGAGGAGTAAGGGGCCAATCATACCGAACGCGCTTTATGCGAAATACGCTTTATGCGTTCGGTATGGTTTACTAACGGCCGCAAGCGTTTTGCTCACTGCTTATGCGCCTCACATTTTAACCGCCTGCTGTGCCTCGCGTTTTTGCCCTTGCGCGCCGTGCGTTCGCAGTTGAAAAAAAGTCAACTCTGAGCAGATAAATCGTGTTACGTCACTCACGTCTTTTTCATTTTCCAATCAAAATAAAGCAGAGGCGGGGTTTCAATTGAGGCGCATGCAATGTTTGTGTTGTCAAGACGACTATGGAGATATTTGAAGATGGAGGAGAGACTTGTGGTTGCTGTTTTGAGTTATCCGAAGCTGTATGACTTCACAAATCTTGAATATCACACTATTATTAAAAAGCGCACTGTTTCTTTTTTCTTGTCAAAAAAGGCAGTGAAATTCGCCTCGCGTTTTTGGAGCGTAAAGACGCGTTCGGTGTGATCGGCCCCTAATACACCACAAAGGTGAAGAGGCTGTACGAGCGTTGTTATTGCTGAATAACCAGAAAAAAACTGTTATACAAACACGTAATATATATATATATATATATATATATATATATAACATGTTTGTATAATAAAAAACACAACTTTGTAATTATTATGTAATTAATTAAACTTTGTCTCTCATTGTCCAAGCTTATTAACCATGATCTCCTTAAAGCACACAAAAGAGACTCAACAAATTAATAAAATAGTACAAATTAAACAGACGTTTGGTTTTAAAGAGGTGTCGAGCATATTTAGGTAGGTTTTCATTGCATTTATGCTGTTCTGATCAGTGTGTGAGATTTTGAAAAGCTTCCCTATCTCCTTCCATTACTTATTATTCATGTAGCCCACTATAAATATGTTGACATCTTAGCTAACTTACTCAGCAGGATTCTCTTCGAAATGTTGCCCCGCTATGACAGAAATCAAGCTAAAAGAGAAGGCAAACTGTGGAAGATGCTAATGTTTGCTATACTCCACCTTGTGGCTGGGTTTAGAATGCAGTGTGTGTAAGCTGTGATAATGAGTTTGCCCTCACGTGTTTCTCTAGCGTATCTGTTTTTGCTTATGTAAAAAAACACAGTTTTGTTTCTCTCCTTTGTGCGTAGGCTCTTTGGAGGTGGTGTTCGTCAGAATGTGCCGTGCCTTCGACCCTCAGAACAACACAGTCTATTTCGATGGAAAGTATGCCGGGCCTGATGTCTTTAAATCATTAGGTGAGTTACAAAACCCAAACAGATTTAGGATGTGAAGTGGAAAATCTATGTTTGGAACAGGGTGTGTGCGCCTTGTATTTGTAACTTTGTGGGGACCAAATGTACCCACAAGTGTTTCAATACCCGTAAATTTTTTTGGTCCCTATGAAGAAAACAGCTCATAAATCACACATAATAATGATTGAAATTATAAAAATTCAGATTGTTTCCTGTGAGGGTTGGGTTTAAGGGGAGGGGTTCAAGATATACAATTTGTACAGTATAAACATCATGATGTGTGTGTGTGTGTGTGTGTGTGTGTGTGTGTGTGTGTGTGTGTGTGTGTGTGTGTGTGTGTGTGTGTCTTGTATTTCTAGCATTGTGTGTACCAAATATATTCACAAGTATAGCAATACCATTCAATTTTGACCTTCTGGGGACATTTTGTTTTTGGTCCCCATGAGGAAAACGGCTCATAAATCATCCTGAATGAAGTATTTTGAAAATGTAAAAATGCTGATTGTCTCCTGTGAGGGTTGGGGGAGGGGAGAGAATATACAGCCTGCACAGTATTAACATCATGTCTATAAGATCTTGGTATGCTTGATTTATATTGATTTTGTTATATAAATAAGATGCATCATTTTTCGACAAAAAATTGTGAATATTTCAGAAAGCCATTACTTTAAACAAAATAGTTCACATTTTACTCATGAGTATGAGAATAAATACTAAATTTGAATGAATTCTTATTACATCTTGCGCTCATTCAGCTCTTGCATCTTCATTTTTGGATAGAAACAAAATAAAGCACAACAAATTGTCTCTATAGCTTTCAATACGTCGTCCTTGGATTTTACCTTTCCTTACCAGGGTGAATTTTCCTCAGTGTGGCAGTAGCCACTGCATATGTTACTGTAGGCATCTACAACATGTGCAAGCAAAATGTAATGTCTTCCATGAGCGTTTTATCAAACCCCACCATCCAGTTTTTCGGGTGTAAGCAAATAACATTTACATTTGAATGCCGTGACATTAGTGAAATCCCATCCCGGTTATTATGCACACAGCAACTCAAAGCTTGTCCAAATGCCAAAACAAACACAAAAACGAGAAATCCAGACATGGTATGAAAGATAACATCCAGTTGTGTACTGTAACCATATCTCACGTGGGCGTCCTCAGCCTTATAATGATCGTAATACTTTATTTCTGACGTTTATGAGGCGTTTTGAACAATCCTGCATGTGTTTGCCAAGCTTTAGCGCAGTAACTGCTACGAAAACTGTGCCCTCAGGTGGTGCTGATGTTTTATTTCAATTATTTATCATTTTTCACTGCTTAATTTCCAATATCTGATTTATTTATGAGTCGGAGATAGATTTGTGCTTCCAAAACTCGCATTACTACTAAATAGGTGTTGTGCAGAACAATGTTACGATCGATAACAAAATATCTTTCTTAGCAGACAGGAGAATACATGTATTTATTATTCATGCGTTTGAAACGCAATGCGAAATTTGCATATTAATGCATGCAAATACATTGCGATCCGCTCTAAATATCCTTCACTGCACTATATAGTCCTCCATTACAGAGCAGTTTTCCAGAAATGTAGAAGAATATATTTGTATATACTAGAAATTAAGCAAACTTTGATTATTTTATTGCAATTATTAGCTATTTTTAATGCTAGGTGAGTAGTGTCGGATTTGTTTTGCAAGTCAGATTATGAAATTTAATCTGAATTTCTCAAAAACCCACATAAAGTGTTGACTTGACTGGCAAAGCCTCAGAACAAAATGTATTGCCACTTAAAATGTAATATATGCAAAATGTCTCACCTGAAAAATATTATATTCATGCCTATTTATACAATTTAAATTCATAATAAAAATATGTGTGCTGATGGTTTTCAAAAAAAAAAAAAAAAAAAAATATATATATATATATATATATATATATATATATATATATATATATATATATATATATATATATATATATATATATATATATATATATATATATATATATAAAGAGGACCATGTTTGTGTGCATGTAAATGGCATGGGCATATCTAATAGCTCATAGTCACATGTGTTAGCTACCTCTTCGCAAAATATGTTTAAGCATATTTCCGAGATTATAAATGGATGAAGGCTCTGGCGATTGTCACTGATTTACTACAGTTACTACTAATGTTTGGGGGTAGTGCATTTATTTCAAACTGTGACCAAAATTGACTGGAACTACATGTACATTTAACGGTTTTATTCGACCCTGCATTACGGCAGTTTGTTATATAGTCACAAAATTTAATCTATCGATTCAGCTTCACGGACATTAATTCTCTTTTTTTTGTGTTCCTCAACATAACTGTTAACTAATGAATTTATATAGGCATTTTTTAAACATGACTTTCAAAATATTGTATTCGTTGAATGTATTTTTATTAAATATGCTAATGTGCTGGAAATTCTTTTTGAATCGGATATTTCATCGAGCAGAAGCCGGAGAGTTTTAAGCTATTAAAAGCTCATAAATCACTCTGTTTGTCCAACACGATCTCACAGCAATTCGTAACTTTTTGATTTAGCGGCTAATTAGTATGAAATCATACAATCTCATTCGTACAATTTAGTACGGTTTGTTCATCCCCCAATGACGGTAGGGCTTAGGGTTTATTTCTTTTAAAATTTGTACATTTTCGTATAACTGAACTGTAAAATAGTAACGTTTCCTCATGAGATCAGGCTGGTTTGTCGGATAAAGACGTAGTTTGGCTTCAGAGGACTTGAAATGCAACACAACTTGTTTGTATTGCTTTTTATGGTCAGTTTTTGCAATAAAAACGCATGACCCTACTTTTATTTGCCTGCTGTTTATTTTATGTTGTTAAGAAGCAGGTAGGTTCCGGTGTGGGGGTGTGTGCGCCAAAATATCTCTGAAAGTACGCTTGTTTATGACGAGCTGGACAATATGAAAGATACTGCCTATTGAATTTTAATATGTTAAAACTCATGTTGAGGAACACGAAAAATGCCCATTGAAATACAATATGTTAAAAGTAGGTTAGAAATCATGTTGAGGAAAATACCCATCGAAATATAGTAGGTTAACCGTCGTGCTAAGGAACAGGAAAAAACGGAAAATTTGTGTCTGTAAACATGAGTTGATACATAAAAATGTTGTGACTATATAATGAACTGCTGTGTGACTGGGTTGTTTTATTGCACACCTTCCAGCCAATCAGAAACAAGAATTTCACCAGACCATAGAAAAAAGCGGGAAAATTTGTGTCTGTGAACACAAATTGATACATTAAATTTTGTGACTATATAACGAACTGTCATGTGACTGGGTTGTTTATCGCACACCTTCCAGCCAATCAGAATCAAGAATATAAACAAAACATAGTATATAAAACCTTTATCCTTTTCTAAATATGGCTATTTTAATGTTTTTGTTTTTTCATTTAGTGCCGCTATTTTTACATTTAACCATTATGGAATGTAAGTTTTCAATCCTAGTGATTGTATTCAGAAGTAGAGGGAACAATGTTGTGTCTAGATGGTGTTTAGCTTGGGAAAGTAAAGCAAAAAATGCTGCTGTAGACGATCTGCCAGTGTTTGTCTGACTCACGAGTGTTACTCGTGTTTGTTAGTGACCCCAGTCACGGTTACATAAACCTTCTCACTCGCCAAAGCAAGATTATCCTGGACGGGCGGGGGGGGGAGAAAAACGTGGCAGGAAAATTCATTGAGTGACGCTGAAGGATTGCATTGTTCTTACCTCTGTGCCACCCTGACATCTGCTAAAAGATCAAGTGTCTGCTCGTCTCCGTCTCACTGTTTTCTCTTCTGTCTGCACGCTGACAGGCTGCGACGACTTGATCAGCTCTGTCTTCGAGTTTGGGAAAAACTTGTGTTCTATGCACCTCTCTGAAGACGAGATCGCCCTGTTCTCCGCCTTCGTCTTGATGTCTGCCGGTAAGCAAACTCTGTGTTAAAATCCCCAAAATTATCCACAATCCATGGTTTACCTTCAGAATCATACATGAAGATGGAAAGGATAGTGTTAGGAAGAATGGTTGAGCAATTTTCTTTTTCCTTACCGAGGCCAGAAGTTAGGTTTTCCAATCAATCAGTATGTGTGGTGTTAATGCCATGTTGTAATTATCATAATTGCGAGATTACATAATCTAAAACGCATTTAAAACTCCTCATAGAACTAGTAATCAAAGCCAATAAAGTGAATTTTCCAGTGTTCCGATGATATGAACACTTCAGAATTAAATCTAAGTGAGGAATTCTTGTTTTTAGCGACACAAGTGGCCATTAGGTGAATTGCAGCCAGCCTGGTTTATACTTCTGCGTCAGGAGATTGGCATGACCCACGGCGCATGTTATGCGCATAGCCGAACTTCTGCATGCTCTTTGTGTTGCTGTGCAATAACACTTTATGTTTATGTTCCACTATGTCGAGTTTCTTCGCTGGTGTTTTGTTTTTTCTGAACGCTACCTTAATGTACAAGTGGCTCAAACTTACTCATTTTGAGGCAGGAATCATCGGACGTGCAACAATATTAATCATAAGGTAAACACAAAACAATAGTTTCCATCTAGAGCTCCTTCACGGGACTCCACACTTGTGAACACTCGTGCGGTTCTCATCTCCGCCCACACTCGTCAGCACTACCAAGCTGATCAATCACAGAGCTTGCGCTACGCCAAAGTCTCTTTAGGGCAAGTCATTTCACTTGCCGGCCATCTTTGAAAAGCCTCTCAGGCAGTATGCTTGGGCATTCTGTTTGAATGGGGAAACATCAAATTCTCCAAAACGACTTGCCAAGCTTACGATTACATTTCACATTACGAATAAGCAATAAAGTTATACAACAATTGGCTATTTAGTTAATTCCTTAATGTTCGTATAACACAAAATCTGCAGAAACTCAAGCCTGAGCCCTTCCGCCAGAGAATTATCATTTTATAGTGATCGCTTATTGGCTTCTGTACTAGCAGGCGGGTTTTATTCATCTTATAGCAATTTCTGATTGGCTCCTGTACTAGAAGGCAGAGCTTCTTTTTCCATATTGACAGTTACACTTTTCCCCATTCAAAAGTAAAGATCTTGTGTATTCTAGAGTCTTTGGCTATGCATCCTTGCAATGTTTAGTAACATTTTTTTGAGAGGTACATGTCAGCGTTGCTGACGGCCACGGCGAGGGCTATGCGACCACGTGTAGGCTGCACCAGAGCATACGCGTGCGCTTGACGCAAAAGTATAAATCAGCCTTTACTTGTGTCCCACTCATGTGTTAAGAATGTTATTTTGGACATGTAATCAGTGGCGCCCATAAAAAAATTTAGTAGTTGGGGTGGCCAAGTAAGACAACACCAAATCTTGAGGTGGCACACAAAATATAATATGAATAATGAGTAATGATATATTTTTGTTTCTGGTAAATGAAATAATGAAGTTAATTAATTTAATAATAATCTTTTTAATAATTTAATAATCTTAATATTGTAATTTATTCCTTAAAATAATTAACCAAATAAATATCAATATTTAATTTAAAAACAACTTTCAGGCAAGTTATTTTTCACATACTTTTATTGTACAACATACAGTATATGCCATGTCTAAAATTAATGAAGATTAATTAATTAATAAAACAAACCAGCAAAATAATGGTCACTAAATAAACTAGATTCTGAAAAGCTGAATTCAAAATGCATCTATTTTTTTTTTTTTTTGTTGGATTAGTGGTTTTCAATCAGATAAAACACAACTTTCTCATTTCAAAAAATAACAATTTCTTAATAAAAAGTGTGCCGTCTCAGTGAATCAGCTACGTCGGTGGCGCTGATCAATCCACAATAATTTAGTGGCTACATTTTATTTATTAATTAAATAAATAATTTATTGAAATATTGTGAATTTACGTAAGTGCATTTAAATAAATAATATCAACAACTAAATCATATTGGGGTGGCCACAGGGGTTTACACAAGGGTGGCTGTGGCCACCCCTGCATGTAATAGGTTACAGATTACAAGTTACTCTTAAAATGTTATAAGTAGTGTAACTATTTCAGTTACTTCATTATTTTACTGATTACATTTGATTACTTGAAGTCACAGTATTTAAAATGTAATTAGTAGTGTAACTAATTTAGTTACTTATTAATGTAACCAATTGCATTTAAAAGTTATAGTATTTAAAATGCAATTAGTAGTATAACTATTTCAGTTACTTAGTAATGTAAACGATTAATTTTACAAGTTACAGTATTTAATATGTAATTAGTAGTGTTACTATTTTAGTTACTTTATTATTGCTAAAGTATAGCTGCTATTGTCAAGGCCAATAAACAGAAAAAACCCAAACGCAGGTGAAGACAATGATTTGTGGAAGGCAAAAATTCTAACAGATCAGTTCATTAGCCAGAATGCAAAATTGAAAAAAAATCTTCTAAAGGCAATGTCTCAGTCTCAAGGGAAAAATGCACAAAAACCTCAGTTTGACAAATGGAAAACAAAATGCTCTTCAGCAAGCAGTCCTCTCAGCCTGATCAAGAAAGAACAAAAATATTAGTCCAAAAAAAGTGAACAACGAAAAATGACAAAAAAAAAATACTTGCAGACTTTGATGGAGGGGAAGAGAATAGCTGCGTCCCAAATGGCACACTATACACTATGCACTCATGCACTATGTACTTATGCACTTACACACTCAACAGGGTAGTATATGTATGTAGTGTCGTCCCAAATGGCGCACTAATGTGTTTTTACTGAGCGGAAATTCAAACCGTTTCCCTGATGACGTTTGACGGTCGCCAAATCATTGAAGTAAACGACCGAATTATCAAATAATACCTGCCGTGAGTATTGATGCAATCACTATCGGGAGGCGCTATAATCACTCTCGTAAAAGAATTTTGCTTTCACCATCCAAATTAAATAAAGTTATTCAACATGTGCGTCCGATAGCTCCGCCCCTTCCGCTACGTAAGCAAACCTGCGGTCGTTGAGTGCGTGAAGTGTCCATCATTACACACTTCATTTTAGCGGCTGAATGAGTGCATCATCCGGGTAATTAAAGTGCACTTATGATTTTTAGAGTTTTCAGTGTGAACGCACTACTTACACTATTTATACTACAAAATGGCGTAGAATAGTGCATAAGTATGCGATTTGGGACGCAGCTAATGACTGGAAATAACCAGGAACAAAAAATAGACTGGCCAGTAGAAACAGAGGCAGGTGTAATTGTCAGAACCACGCCAGTGTCCAGGACATCAAAAACTCAGGCAGCACAAGAGCAAAAACTTCGGGCAAGCCAGGGACTACACAGAAAAGCTGGGAAGGTAGGGAGAGAGTCCTGGAGTCAAACAGAAAAAGGTTAACTAAAAACATTAAGTTTACCTATAGTTGATGTTGCAGGGTCAGAAGCAAACAACAATCTGGCACTGAACAGCAGAAACCAAGAGAATAAATAGGGGAGCTAATGAGGAGAAAATAAGCAAAGACAGGTGAAGCAAATCAACTAAAATTATGAGAACGAGGAGGTGGAGAGAAACAATCAGGAGCACAAACAAAGGAACATGTGGCTAATACAAACAGAACAGATAGAACCAGCCGATCAGCCAGGAGTCCTGACAGCTATCAGTAGCTTGTTGTTAATGATGAGAGAATTTGCAAGAATAGTGCAGATTAGATTAAGAATTCAACTCAGCAAAATCAATGGTGTCTGATTGGTCATTTCCGTTCCTAAGCACAACAGAAATGTTTCCCATGCAGCAAATGCAGATCTAAAGTAACATTTTAAATTAATTTTCACATTTCACTTTGATCGCAACAGCTGTAATATATTTAATATAATTGTTTTGCCTCATTATGTTCCATTTGTTTTTCTCACTTGGTTGCATGTCGGCCTTGTTAATTTCACATCTCGTATATGATGTGATGTGTGTGTGTTTGCGTGTGTGTTTTTAGACCGATCCTGGCTCCAGGAGAAGGTGAAGGTGGAGAAACTCCAGCAGAAGATCCAGCTGGCCCTCCAACATGTTCTGCAGAAAAACCACAGAGAGGACGGCATACTGACAAAGGTACAGGAGAAAATAATTAATTAAAAATAGATTAATACAAAAATAATAAATGTGTGTGTTGGGATATGAAGATATCATATTATATGACTTCATATTATATTATATTTTATTGCATTATATAGAAAAATGTAAATTATTGAATAGTACTATATTATATCATATTATATTATATTATATTATATTATATTGTATTATATTATATTATATTATATTATATTATTATATTATATTGTATTATATTATATTATATTATATTATATTATATTTCATAGCTAATTTAAATTACTGATACTACATTTTTTATAATTTGTAAATAATTGAAAACTAGATGAATAACTGATATAAAATAATACTATTATAACATTTTGAAATCTTTTAACTGCTTTTTCTTTGTATTTTTAGATTTAGTACTTAACATTTGAGGTTAGTAAAGTTAAGATAAATTAATGTTATAGCTCAAAATGTCTCTTTTTATTTAATAATTAAATTTTAATTTTTAACATTAATTTTATTCATATTTAATTAAAAGTTTTTATTAATATTTAACATTTAATCTTATTTCACCTTTATTCCGGTAACAAAAAAAAACATGTTCATAGCTTTAGTTTTAGTAAATAACAGCACTACATTTTAAAAAATGGAATATAAAATCGATGTGTGAATATTGTTAAACACACATACATTCTGTTTAAAAGCCCTTGTGTTACACAGCCATGAGACAATAATTAAAAAGCAAACAGGGTCAATTTTGACTTCATATGACTTCATCCGCAAAGCTGCATTTGGTCTGGCGGCCGAAAGATTAGCGAATGTCGTGTGAAAACCTGGGACCATCTGTGTTGTGTCTGCGGATTAGAGGGTCTGCCTTTTGCCTTTTGACCGAGTACTACAGGGTCTTTTTTTCTCCCAATTTAAAATCTCCCTCTCTTTCTCTCTCTCTTCCCGCAGTTGATATGCAAAGTGTCCACGCTGCGAGCCCTGTGCAGCCGGCATACGGAAAAGCTGACGGCGTTCAAAGCAATATACCCAGACATTGTCCGCGCACATTTCCCCCCTTTGTACAAGGAGTTATTCGGATCGGACTTTGAGCAGTCGATGCCCGTTGACGGGTAGCATTTCCCTGCGCCCTGATGCCACACCGTGGGGAATGTCAAGCTTCAATCTGAGACACTTTAGCAGTGCCCTGCACACACACACACACATATGCACACACACCTGGATGGACGACACACTGCACACACACACACACACTTTTCCCCCCTAACCTTTTTTTTTTTTGGCCATTTTTTTTTCGTCAGGGAGATGATGATAATGGACTGGGTAGGACTCCAGCGGTTTATTTTTGGGGGTTTGTTCCCTCTTACTGACACAGGTGGGATTCGGAGCCCAGGGGAGAGGACGAGAAGATGAAGACACTTTTTTTTTTTTTTCCTTCTCTCTCTCTCTTTCTCTCTCGTTCCTTTCCAGAGCCGTCCCGTGGCGATTTGTCACCATCAGCATAAATAGTTCTGACTCGTTTCCAAAACGATTCCCAGAGAGAGCACCTAAACTTTTCGCAGCCCCTTCCTCAAGCCACGAATGAAGTTGCGATAAAAAAAGCTGATTATCTGGACTGTTCCAGCAGTTATAGTAGCACCAAAACAAGTGTAGAAGCATATGTTGTGGTTTCTTCCTTCCCTTGGATTTTAGTTTTTGGGATGCGAAACGAAGAAGAGAGAGAGAGAAAGAGAGATACATAGAAGAAGACACCTCCGAACAGCACCTTTCTACGGACAATCGAGGACTAAAAAAACAACAACAACAAAAAAAAGAAGGAACAACGTGTAGAATTCTGGTAATTCTAGTCGTAAAGCGTGCGATTGCTTTTAGCCGTCAGAGACTCCATCTATCATAGTTGCTTAGTGATATCGTTTAAGGCCATCTGCTATTAAGTCCCTCTCTGGAACGGTGTTTTATCGTAACGTAACGGTCTGACCACAAACATCGATGCAATGCAAAGGGTCCATTCCACCTGTTTTCTAACGTGTTACAGGGTATACGGTCATAAGTACAAACTATACAGAAGAAGAAAAAAAAATAATGTTTATAGAATCTATTTTAAATAACATGTATGATATTTAGTAGCTAGACTATTCTTAATTGTGAAAAATCGATAAGGCACTTTTATTTGCACCTTTCTTTAATTTAAGACTTGTATATTTACCTAGTGATGTGTTGCATGTATAAATACCACGGTTCTGGAGAGTGATTGCTGGAAACCCAACGCTGCTGAGGGTGGGTGCGTGTTTGCGTGTGTGTTTGTGTATTTATTTGCGCGAGGCGGAGGTTGGTGCTGGGGAAAGGCGGGTCATGTGATCTGGGAGTGTATAATCATTTTTTTTTTGGTCATTTAAACTGGAACTAAGCTCTAGTTCTTGTGAACCTAAGCACACGGGGTCTATTCAGTGAAATAAGACCCTTTTTTTTCTCCATACGTCATTTGCTGTTTAATGGTTCCCTCTAGTGGTGGTCCACCAGATCTGTTGGCTGATTTACTTAAACCGACTATTGTGAGGGTCTTTGCCCAGCAACAACGCTCGTCGGGAACGTAAGAGTGAGGAAAAAATACAAAAAGAGACATATTCAAAGCCTTGTCTGGTTGAAAATCCTCTATTTTTGTAACATTGTACAGTGCTTATGAAGCCTATGAGAGAAAAAAGGGAAAGAAAGAAGAATGATTTAGCACTTAATCCTGCAATAATTAGAATATGTGTGTTTTTTTAATGATTTTATTTGTCTTTTTCGAAGAACAAGACATTTGTAGTAATAGTGCTATTTTTCGGAAATACCTAACTGTTGTGTGTTGCGCGTGTTTGTACGTCTTTTGAATGTGCCATAGTGGTCTTTCCTGCTTTTTTTTTTTTTTTGAGTCTAAATAACAAAAAGATTTGTTGTATTGTAACATTCCAGTAAAAAAACTACTTAGAAAATCCCACAATAATCCAGAAGAAGGAGAAAAATAAACATTATTGATCCTCAACCTGCTTACAGACATTCTGACAAACATCCAGTATAGATCTTGGTAGCTTTTGTGTCATTCCCCCCATAATTTCCTCAGGGAAGAGTCTGTCTAACTCGATTCTGAAGCCGGTAGCTAAAAAAAAATGTTAGTCAGCTCTATGTTACATCTAAAGCTCAATAATTTGATCTTGATGGCCTGTTTAGAACAAATAAATAGCATTTTTAATATAAGTAAACCACATCACTAAACGATTAGTCAATGCATTCCATCATGAATGACAATCCAGGTTCATGTTTAGTTGTAAATCAGCAGTTTGTGCACTACACGGCTCAGGGAGAGAGATGCGGTGATGATTGAGAAAACTGATATAATGCGATCAGTTCCAAACCTAGTGAGCTGCCTACATAGCGAAAAATGTGTGTTCACTACTTTATTTTGACCAAATTTGGCCGTATATTGCTGAAAAGCCATTCCAACATGGAGATATGAGATCAAAAGATATGATAATTATGAATTTACGCCATTCAGCATCATAAATAATGACAAAATGCTGTTAATAGTGCAATATTTACCCAACAATTGTGGGAAATTTGCTCAATACTTAACATAGCAGCATACTGATGTAAAAACTCCATTGAAATCAATTGAGAGAAGACACACCGTTTGGTAAATAGGTGCCGCCTACATGACATTGTTAAACAAACATTTATAAAAGTTGGGAAATAAAAGTGTTCCCCCTCACTAATTTATGTTTAAATTTTAAGGCATGTGCTGTGTCATTCTTTTAGCATAGCAACATGCTAGTGTAAAATTAAATTGAAATCAACTGTAAGAGAAAACAAACATGCTACATGGTATTTTTGTAGTGGACAGGGATGTTTTCTATGTACAATAGCCCAAGTAATAAGGTTTTGTTGCCTATCTAGACAGCAAAAATGTGTTGCCAGAATGGTGAGAATTAGTAAATATGTGCTACACTGATTTGCTTTTAAATTGTGTATTGCGGTAAAAAAAAAATCTTCCAACATGGCGTGCTAATTACATCCTATTCTATACTAAAAAATGTTTTTAATTTAATTTTATAGTTAATACTCACCCAAAGTTTATGCTTTGTGAAGCTTGTTAATGTATAATGTGTTTAGCATAGCAATGTTAACTTAATGAAGGTTATTAAAGTAGAATGTATTTAGCATAGCTACTTGCTAACGTAAAACCAGCCTGATCTCACGAGAAAACGTAAGTGTTTTACGTTTTGTCAGTTAAGTAGCTAATTCGTACGAAATTATACGATTTTAAAAAGGAGGCGTGGCATCTAACAACCCCCATACCCCCCCTCCCTCCATCCGTCATTGGGGGATGAGCAAATCGTACTAAAATGTGCAAATTAGATTGTACGAAGTCATACGAATTACCTGCTAAATTAAAAAGTTACGAATTGCCATGAGATTGTGTTGCTTAAAACACATTAGATATCAATTGTGAGACGAGACAAAACACATGTTGTGAATGTAGATTGATCTAAACCACTTCTGCTACGTTACATTATGCTGCCTATGTAGATAACATACAAGGCAGCTCACTAGGAACAGAACTGAACCAAAAAAAGAACCTGGTATTGTGTTAAAAGTACAAATCTGTCACTGTTCATTCTTTAATCCTCATTTTTCATCTTTGGCAATTTCGTGCTCATGTCGCACCCCGTTATTCACTAGCATGAGTGCTGTCAAGTCAAGGGAAGACAGTTGTACATCATAAACAATGCGAAATGTGTCATTTCATTTATTCCCCCCGTAGGCCACTGGATTTATCAAGTCACCCAAGATCTAATTCCCTATACTCAAACAAAGCAAGATACCAACCTCAAGCGTGCTACGCTAATTTACTTAGCTACAACGTGCGTTTTTTTCTTCTTCTCTGGATTGGGATTTGTTTTAATTGTCGCTGATAATTGTTCGAGTCTATGTGCCAAATACCTCCTCACGATTTTGCTCCACCTTGAGACGTCCGTCGCTCGACAAATACGGGTTTCTACAGGGTAACCACTGCTGTGGAGTCCCCTTGATGAACAAGCTTTGCTGTCCAATGATCTTCATTCAGAACAACACCATAAAAGCTGTCACGTTTTGCCACTTTTTTTGCATGTCGTATTTTGTCAGTGTAATTTGTATTTGACGTTTTAAAGCAATATGCTATGAGAACTTTTTTGGGACAAAAATTTATTTTTTCTAACACAAGGTACTTAAACAGCTCCGAATCTGTGGTATTTTTAGACGTGTAGAGGTGGAAGATCCATTTTCCCTCTGTCTTTATTGTAAATTCTTTATTATTTTCGTTAATTGTGGTCCCCTCTTTGTAAGAAGCAATATACATCCGTACGTGGATGCGAAAGCATATACAAGCGGAAGTCTGTGTGTTTTGTGATATTTGTAATGTCTGCTTAAGGTTAAACCCCCCAGACAAGGCTTTAAACGATCAGGCGCAGCAGGGTGAGATGGTGAACTGTATGTTAGATCTTACGTTACTTTCCCAGGATTTAAAATATTTTACGTAGCACTGAGCTTAAATCCGTTGACAAGGCTGTACTAGCATGACACACCGCACTTCGACGTTAACATTTCAATTAGATTTATGCAACAAGGCCTATGCACTCACGGACTTCGGCACAATTACCGTTTTTTTCTTCTTCTCGCAATTCTGATAAATGTGTCATGCTTGCTACAGCATTCGAGCTGAAGGTTACTAAGATTTACGTCACTCATTTTCCTTGCGTTTTTTTTCTTTCCTAAAGCACAGCTGACGCGCGTTATTAAAAGTGAACTATGTTTAGATAATAGACGAAAAGAAAAGTCTTTTAGCCATAAACGAATGTCAAGCAATAATATATATGGTGTATTATGATTCATTTTGTGCATAGGCTTTGAACATCTGCATGTAAATACATTTTCTTATTTATCGCGTTTAATTTCTTTTTCCGCTTTGCATTTTTCAGTTCGTTTTAGTTTTGTTTGTATATTGACTAGTTCTGTTCCCGGGTGGAGAACTACGAACGTCAAAAACGGCCTGTACAGCTACGTTTCCCTGTCCTCCTTTCGGCTTTTAATTCACGATATTTAATGTTCTATCGATCACATGTATAAAAGTAACTTTGTAACTTCTGTCTGTATAGGTAAGAAGAGAATACTGCTATTAAGACCTGCTCAGTGCGAAATATTTATCTGTTTTATCAGACACATCATGCTGTACAATATCTGTTTTGAGTATACTTCTCTCTTTTAGACTTAGTTCGATTAGCGGTAGGGTGTGCGGACATTAATTTTTGTGTTATACTGACGTGTGGTGCTAGGTAAGTTACTTTTGTGAACAAAAATTATGGATTCATAGACTAGGCCACCCTCTTAGTCCATTCATTTCACTGAGTATTGATGCATTATTAATATTAGGACTCGATAAAGAATAATAATAATAATAATAACGATTATAATAACTATAATGATAAAGATTACGATAGTAGTAAATTTACTTTCGAATACCCAGCGAGTACCTGTATCAGTGTGCTAGTCTTGGGACACGGCTTGTTTCCTTCCCACTTTTAAGATTATTAGCAAGTATCGGCTAAGTTAAACGTTGCAGTTTTAAATTTTTGACAATTGTGCTTACAAAATGGATAATTTAAAAAAAAGCAGCAGTATTGTGTTCGTTTTTGGGAGGCGTTTCTTATCCAGTGCTTATTTTTTGTATTGGACGCTGGAAGGACTTTAAACACGCGATTAACTAACGGATTGTCTGCCACTTTTTGGCTCCCTCCATATATATTTTTTTTCATACATTCAGTTTTGTTTTGTTTTTCATTTTCAAAGTCACACTTACACACACTCACATGGTTAAGTGTTAAAAACTGTACAGGACAAAAGCGGTTGTGCGAAGTTTTGTTGCGAAACTTCCTGTTTTTATCTTTGTAGCAAGGCAGAATCTACTTGCAATAATTCTTAGCAAACGACGCTGAGTGCCTCTCAGTGGTGCAGGATGCAGAAAATATATTCGTGCGTTATTGTTTTCACCGTTTTTTCGACCGTGTTTGCACTCGTAAGTGAATTCTGTCTGATGTTCCCGACTTTTATTTTTCGTATGTAAATGAGGCATTTCATGTTTGTTTATAGCCATGGAAACAACATTTATGGTCTCTGTGATGTCCTGACATTCTCTTTCCGTTTCCCTCCGAACAACTTCACATGGGACATTTCATCCAGTCGGTTGGGTGTATTTTGGATATTCGCAGAGACAAAATGGCGGACAATAGACAATCCACTCCGTGTTCTCCTTGTTGTTTCCTGCCGATTAGATTTTAAGTTGACGATTATGGAACAAAATGACTAATGCAATGTATTTTAAGTGTTCATATGTGTATGATGCATACTACACTTCTATTTCTCGTTGAGCTGAAGGGAAGGGCACAAGGGCTGGAGCGGGACGGGTTGCATTTTGCTCCTGCCAACATGCGGGGGGCGGGGGGAGGGGATAAAAAGCAGAAAACAGGTTTGCGGTTTGTCACATATTTTTACGTCACATGTTTGCTACTGATCTTAAAATGGGGACAGTCGATCATGTACCTTTTTATTCAGCTCTTTGGAACTCTCTTTAGGAGATAGTCTCTTCTCAATAGTGGTTTTGCTCCTTCCGTTTGTCTGATTCTTAAATATGGAAATAAGTATTTTGATTCATTTTGTAAATACCGCTGTAAAGAAAAATAAGAAATTTAATGTTGTCTTTTAAATACTTTTCATTCTAATATGAATGTTGTTATATTGTACTTAGAAACTGTACCTTTAATATTACCTTTATTAAAAGTGCATTGGACACATCGATTTTAGATGTGCTTTATGTGCTGTTATCCCATAATAAAATTTACCGCTTGTAATGGGCTCTTATTCAATGTGTGTCATACTTCTGTCTGCAGATTGTGTCGTTGAAGTTCCACAGCAGAAAAAGAGATGGGGAGCTGTTTAAAAATTCACTTTAAAAGCTCCTAGTGTCAAATATGATTGAAATAAAGCAGTTTTGTGAAGCTTTAATTATGGCAGTGGACTATTACACGCATACATCAACAATAAAACAGGCTTCTGTTTGTAAATAGGGGCATTATAAATGTTAAAAGATTTTTAAAAAACATTTAAATGAGAATTAAAATGATTTAATGCTTTCTGTAGAACATTAAAATGGATTTTTAGCTGAAACTGTAGTCATTGTGATTCATAAAACATACAGGCAAAACAAATAACTACCTATGGCTCCTGACAATACGCTTGAGGTCTTATAAAGTGAAAGAATCACATTACCGTTAATAATGCTGTAAATAATGTACAGTTTTTTGCACATACTGATCATTTTGCTTCTAAATACCCATAATAAAGGCCACAGTTTCAGTTTAAAAGCCTTTTATAATACTTTACTGAAAAAGCAGGTCATCTATATGTTTGATAGACTGGATTAAGGTGAGTAAATAAGAAGCAAATAAATTAAATGAGAGCAAATTTTATATAAACTAACGCTAATTATGTGTATCTCAAAAGTCTTTGCCATTTCCAAAGATTAAAGTGAACATGTTGGAATTCAGGCTGTAAAAAGTAAGGGTTTTACTTTATTTACAGTTATTATTTAGTACGTTATTTATTCATTCATTCATTCATTTTCTTGTCGGCTTAGTCCCTTTATTAATCTGGGGTTGCCACAGTGAATTGAACCGCCAACTTGTCTGCATATTTTTATGCAGCGGATGCCCTTCCAGCCACAACCCATCTCTGGAAAATAGTACGTTATTTGGGTTACTTTTATTTAACAATTCCATCATCTTCCCAATTGTGACTTTTATGCCCTTGTGAAAATTAACCAATATGTATGAAACATTGTAATTAAAACAAGAATGTTAACCATGGTACCTCCGCATTATAACCTTTTTTATAACAATGGCTTATGTAGTCAAATCTGATGGCTACTTTTTATAAAGATAAACTGACATTTCTTAGAAAAAAATGAAATAAAATTATGTGAGAAGTGAAGTCAGAATGGCTAGATATTACCTCAGAATTGTGAATTAACCATAATAAATGAATGGTAGCCTTACGTTAACCATTTAGGCTATACTTCCAGTTTTGCTACAAATACCATGGTAAAACTATGGTACATGTACATTATAACAATTGTTTAACAATGGTATTTATAAGTCAAATCTGATGGCTACTTTTCGTGAAGATAAACCCGCAATTCTTAGAAATAAATTAAATAACATTATGAAAAGTGAAGTCAGAATGGCTAAATATTACCTCAGAATTGTGAATTACCTATAATGAATGAACAGTGGCTTAACGTTAACCATTTAGGCTATATATCCAGTTTAGCAACAAATACCATGGTAAAACTATGGTACATGTACATTACAACAATGGTATTTGTAGGCGAATCTGATGGCTACTTTTTGTGAAGATAAAAACACAATTCTTAGAAAAAAAATAAAAATAAATAACATGAGAGGTGAAGTCAGAATTGCTATATTACCTCAGAATTGTGAATTAACCGTAATAAATGAACGGTAGCCTAACGTTAATCATTTAGGCTATATAATCAAGTTCTGCTACAAATACCATGGTAAAACTGTGGTACCTGTACATTATAACAATGGTTTAACAATGGTATTTGAAGTCAAATCTGATGACTACTCTTTGTGAAGATAAAAACACAATTCTTAGAAAATAATAAAATAACATGAGAGGTGAAGTCAGAAGATGTTAGCTTAACGCTACCTCAGAATTGTGAATTAACCATAATGAACAGTATCCTAATGTTAACCAATTAGACTAAATATCCATTTTTGCTAAAAATAACATGGTTAAACTATGGTTAACGTATCTAAATCGTGGTGAATATGTGGTTAACCTTAACTCTAATTACTGTACGCACTTACCAGGCTTGACGGTTAGCAACGTTGGACGGTTATTCCAACGTTTAATCAGAAGCGGAACCTTTATGTCACGTTGGTGAAGATAAACCCGCAATTCTTAGAAATAAATTAAATAACATTATGAAAAGTGAAGTCAGAATGGCTAGATATTACCTCAGAACTGTGAATTAACTATAATGAATGAACAGTGGCTTAAGGTTAACCATTTAGGCTATATATCCAATTTTGCTACAAATAACATGGTTAAACTATGTTTAACGTATCTAAATCGTGGTGAATATGTGGTTAACCTTAACTCTAATTACTGTACGCACTTACCGACTGACGGTTAGTAACGATGGACGGTTATTCCAACGTTTTATCAGAAGCGGAACCTTTATGTCACGTGTTGTTTCCACCCGGAACATTCGGGAATTAGGACTGTTATGATGGAGAAACGTCAACGTGCAAAGCTCAAGAGTCAGTACGGTGTCTTATTAACGATAGATATGAATGACATCTAAAAGTTAAAAACAAACCAAAGACCATGGAGTTAAAATGGTAGGTGCCCACCATGTTGTCATTGTCTAAAGTTATTCGTGATGTTTACGTTGAGCTGTGTAATGGACGGTGTTTTATCTGCAGGGATGTAGAAGAAGCTGCAGCCGCTACTCCTTATGTTTTCTCCAGAGATCTCTTTGAAAAGTTCACTCTGGCGCCAAACGTCAAAGAACTGTTCGCTCTTTTACACAGGTGAGTAAAGTAAAGCTGGTAATTTACCTCAGTTCTGCAGGGAGACCGAGTGTTATTTAGTGTTAGTCCATAAAAACGAATAACAACTCATTTAGATTGGGGTAAAGTTGGTTTTATATTCGCACATTCAGAGTTTCTCCTTTATAATATAATTTCATGAAAGTGTTATTTGCGAACTCATTCATTCATTTTCGGCTTAGTCCCTTTATTAATCTGGGGCATACCTGTCAACAGTGGGAGGTGAAAATAAAGGGTATGCCAACCATAATAAGGGATTAAAAAAACCTAAATAGGTTAATTTGGAGCAGTTTCATTGTAGATAAACAGTTAAATGGTCAGTAATATGTTTTATTATTATTATTTACAAAAGAAAAAATAAATAGTATACATTAGCTGCAAATAAATTAGCAAACAGTTCAGCTTATTAAAATGAATAGTTATTATAATGAAATTGAATCAAGTTGTCAAATCTCATTAGCCGTTTCTTCACTGTATAACTTATACATTCTGATTAAAGAGCAGCGAATGAATCTCTTAATTATTTAGATTTCTTTTATTTGATTACATTAAATGACAGGTGGCACTTTAAAAATGCACACATCTAGCGTTATGATGAAAGCATTCAACTGCTTTCCTAACCTTCTATGCTCATATGGGCCGAAATTAGTTGTTGAAAAAAATACCCACCAAGATCGACATCTTTAGATGTTATTATTTATTATTAATTATGTGTACATGTCCGTTCAAACACACACTTAAAACCCAGACTTTCGCTCCACTTTGAATCACATGTACCGAATCCGTGTATTTATCACTATGGAGCGCGTTAGCTGACAGTCACGCACCATTAAATGACGAGCCTCAACCTATCACTTCCATCCTATGGGAGTCGCTTTTTATAATGCATGATATGATTTCCCTATTTAGAGTTAGGAAATACGCGCAGTAGGTCGTGCTGTTGCCTCACAGCATGAAGGTCGCTGGTTTGAGCCTTGGCTGGGTCAGTTGGCATTTTTGTGGGGAGTTTGCATGTTCTCCCCGTGTTGGCGTAGGTTTCCTCCAAAAGTCCAAAAACATGTGGTACATTTAAAAGTATTAACTTCTTTATTAGAACTACTTTATTTCCTTTTTTATTAATGCAGCATGTCATCACCCTAGAATTATAAGGTTTTGTCTGACATTTGTGTCAAAATTGAGTTGTTGATATTCTTATTTAATGACAACTTATTTACATTATGGAATGTTTTTTATAAGTTGTGTACATTAAGACTTTTTATTAAAGAAAAAACAAATGGCACACACATATTATTTGCTATATGGAATGCAAAAACTTTGAAGGTCATTACCTCAAAATCATTCAGAACTCAGATAGAATCTTATAACTCCATGGTGACGATATGTTAAATATGGATGAATCATAAATAGGAACATAATTTCTTCCATAAATATCCAATGCCATCAAAGTCACTGGGTTTCATTCTACTTTATCTGAATACAAAAATGAAAAGTTGAAATGCAAAACTATTAAATATTATTGAGCTGTATTTTTTTCTTTGTTTTTTTTGTAAAGCTCTGGTGTAAAACCAGAGGACGCTGGTCAGAAAGAGGCCGATGCAGGATCACAGCCAGCGAAGTGTGACGAAGTTTCAGATGTTAGTAACGCCTTGGCTGCAGACGAGCCCACGGCTGAATGCAAACCAACTCAAAAAGCCAAATCTACACCTGAGAAGAACTCTGTTGTTTCAGCTTTTCCTGAACCCTTAGTCCCGTACCCCTGCTTCACCAAGATCAATGCAAAAGAACGCAGATCATACATCAGCATGCTCAAATCCAAGAATTATAAGAAAGCTTCAAAGGTAAACGCTCAACTTTTAGGGGTGATAATCAGCTTTGCAGACACACAGTGTGGTTTTAATGTATTATAGTTATACACTCACTGGCCACTTTATTAGGTACACCTTACTAGTACTGGGTTGGACCCCTTTTTTCCTTCAGAACTGCCTTAATCCTGACATAATAGCGTCTCCCAGTTGCTGCAGATTTGTCGGCTGCACATCCATGAGGCCAATCTCCCGTTAATATAAAATATGCTCTATTGGATTGAGATCCGGTGACTGTTGAGGTCATTTGAGTACAGTGAGCTCATTGTCATGTTCAACGTAGTTGGACAGGTGTACCTAATAAAGTGGCCGGTGAGCATATATGCAATATTGTAGTTTTAATGTATTATAGTTGTATATG